GAAGGATATAAAGTCGTCCTGCACACAAACACTTCAACCATTCATCATGGGGAGGGATATCAAGTCGTCCTGCACACAAACACTTCAAACATTTATCATGGAGAGGGATATAAAGTCGTCCGTCCTGCACACAAACACTTCAAACATTCATCATGGAGAGGGATATAAAGCCGTCCTGCACACAAACACTTCAAACATTCATCATGGAGAGGGATATAAAGTCGTCCTGCACACAAACACTTCAAACATTCATCATGGAGAGGGATATAAAGTCGTCCAGCACACAAACACTTCAACCATTTATCTTGGAGAGGGATATAAAATTGTCCTTCACACAAACACTTCAAATAGTCATAACGGAGAGGGATATAAAGTCGTCCTGCACACAAACACTTCAAACATTCATCATGGAGAGGGATATTAAGTCTTCCTGCACACAAACACTTCAACCATTCATCATGGAGAGGGATATAAAGTCGTCCTGCACACAAACACTTCAACCATTCATCATGGAGAGGGATATAAAGCCGTCCTGCACACAAACACTTCAACCATTCATCATGGAGAGAGATATAAAGTCGTCCTGCACACAAACACTTCAACCATTCATCATGGAGAGGGATATAAAGTCGTCCTGCACAAAAAAAATTAACCATTCATCATGGAGAGGGATATAAAGTCGTCCTGCACACAAACACTTCAACCATTCATCATGGAGAGGGATATAAAGTCGTCCTGCACACAAACACTTTAACCATTCATCATGGAGAGGGATATATAAAGTCGTCCTGCACACAAACACTTCAACCATTCATCATGGAGAGGGATATAAAGTCGTCCTGCACACAAACACTTCAACCATTCATCATGGAGAGGGATATAAAGTCTTCCTGCACATAAACACTTCAACCATTCATCATGGAGAGGAATATAAAGTCGTCCTGCACACAAACACTTCAACCATTTATCATGGAGAGGGATATGAAGTCGTCCTGCACACAAACACTTCAACCGTTTCATCATGGAGAGGGATATAAAGTCGTCCTGCACACAAACACTTTAAACATTCATCATGGAGAGGGATATAAAGTCGTCCTGCACACAAACACTTCAAACAGTCATCATGGAAAGGGATATAAAGTCGTCCTGCACACAAACACTTCAACCATTCATCATGGAGAGGGATATAAAGTCGTCCTGCACACAAACACTTCAAACATTCATCATAGAGAGGGATATAAAGTCGTCCTGTACACAAACACTTCAAACATTCATCATGGAGAGGGATATAAAGCCGTCCTGCACACAAACACTTCAAACATTCATCATGGAGAGGGATATAAAGTCGTCCTGCACACAAACACTTCAAACCATTCATCATGGAGAGGGATATAAAGTCGTCCTGCACACAAACACTTCAAACATTCATAATGGAGAGGGATATAAAGTCGTCCTGCACACAAACACTTTAAACATTCATCATGGAGAGGGATATAAAGTCGTCCTGCACACAAACACTTCAAACATTCATCATGGAGAGGGATATAAAGTCGTCCTGTACACAAACACTTCAAACAGTCATCATGGAGAGGGATATAAAGTCGTCCTGTACACAAACACTTCAAACAGTCATCATGGAGAGGGATATAAAGTCGTCCTGTACACAAACACTTCAAACATTCATCATGGAGAGGGATATAAAGTCGTCCTGCACACAAACACTTTAAACATTCATCATGGAGAAGGATATAAAGTAGTCCTGCACACAAACACTTCAACCGTTCATCATGGAGAGGGATATAAAGTCGTCCTGCACACAAACACTTCAACCATTCATCATGGAGAGGGATATAAAGTCGTCCTGCACACAAACACTTCAACCGTTCATCATGGACAGGGATATAAAGTCGTCCTGCACACAAACACTTCAAACATTCATAATGGAGAGGGATAAAAAGTCGAGCGGCTCCAGTTAACATGCAAACATTGTTATAAGAAGTCGTCCTTCTCAAGTTAACATACAAACATTGTTATATTAAGTCGTCTTACTTCAGATAACTTTAAAATATTTAACTTGGAGACATGGAGGGTATATGAAGTCGTCTTTCTCAAGTTAACATGCAGATATTGTTATATGAACTTGCCCTGCTTCAGTTAACATGCAGATAATATAATATGAAGTCATCCTTCTTCATGTAACTTTAAGATATTTAACTTGGAGACATGGAGGGTATATGAAGGCACACCACTCCAGTAAAGTCGCAAATATTCAACGCGGATGATTAAATGATGTCATCTTGCTTCATTAAAGCTTCAGACGTTGATTATTGTTGGGTATATGCTGTCTTTCTGCTCCAGATAAGCTGCAAACATTAAACATGGTGGGTTATATGAAGTTGTCCTAACTTTCCTTACTATAGTTATGCTGGAAACATTGAACATCGAGTAATGTATGCTATCGTTTTGCTCCAATAAAGCTGAAGACACTGAACATAAAGGGTTATATGAAGTCGTCCTGTTTACAGAAATACTGTAAACCTTAATCTTTAAGGGTTATAAGTCGTTCTGTCTCCAGCTGCACACATTGAACATGTAGGGATATATGATGTCTTCCTGCTTCAGATAAGCTGCAAACATTGAAAATTGAGGGTTAGAATGAAGTCGTTTTGCTCCATTTAAGCTGCAGACATTGATCATAGAGGATTATTTAATGTCGTCTCGGTTATAATAACTGGAGACATTGAATACGGAGGAGTATATGCTGTCGTTCTGCTCAAGTTAAAAATCCAATATGAAAGGTTATATTATGTATTGCCGCTCCAGTAAAGTTGCAAACATTGAAATGGAGGTGTATATGAAGTAAAGCTGAAACTTTGAATATGGAAAAGTATATGAAGTAGTCTGGCAGTTAAGCAGCTAACAAGAAGGGGCGTATACTTTCGTCTTGTTCTAGTGAAGCTGCAAACATTCACTGTGATCTTCATTGTTTCTGTTTGACTTATTGTCAAGCATATTTTCATCTCTATATTTATATTCTGTATAATCTGCGGTAAATGATGCGCATATCTAATACATAGTTACAATCGACACCCACATGTTCCCCAAGATTGATAAAACGTAAAAGAATCTACTTCTAGAGTATAATGCACGCCATAACGCTATCAATAGAATTTAACCACTTAAAATGAAACACCTTGTCGAAAAGGTCGTTTATTATTTTCTTTAATATCTCTAGATACATTTGAAATTCTTACGTTAGAATGATTTCATTTTCTTTGAGATTAGAAAACGTGTTTGTGTCAAATTCAAACTGAAAAAATACAAGAATATCCAAATATGATTCCTTCGATCCTTTGGATGAAAAGTATAACTTTACAATAATGCAACTTCTCTACTATATATTTGTGAAGATGAAAATAGGAAAAGCTACGAAATTGTTCGTTATTTTTGTAGATGTAAATAAAATTCCTATTCTAGGTAAATCTTACTCGGTGATAACTGTACCTAATTAATACACCGCTACACGAGAAACGAATATAGTTTGATTTGAGTCAATATTTTAGTTTTACTTAAGGCTTTATGACGGTGCATAAATTCCCATTTTTGTTTAAAATTCAAAACAAATACAAGTGTTTTAATGAATATATATTTGTTCCATCTGTCCATTAGACAAAACGTGATTGAACTAATGTTATCAACTAACTAGCTAACATTTCTATGTCGTCACTTCTAATTTGTCAAGTTTGAAACTGTTTATTTATTCACCCATAAAACTTAAAAAGGATATTGAATGAGTGTAGGATCAATACTGAATTTATTAAACGAGTTAAATAAAATATATTATGTGAGCCCCTGGCGAGCAAAATATTATTTTATTCAACGAGTTCAATAAATACAGTAATGGACCTACACGAAGATTAAGAGTATATTTTTTCGTTTGAGTGAAAAATGGAATATATTTTCACGAAACATGATAAAATGTCATATATTTTCACGAGCCGGGACGGCGAATGAAAATATGTGGCATTTTATCATGTTGAGTGAAAAAAAATACCATATTTCATGAAAAACGACAAAATAACCTTTTTATTTAATTTAATTATCAAAGAACAATGGCTACGAATCCGCTTTCTTGCTACGTAACTGCAATTGTACATACACAACAATGCAATACCATTTTTACGGAGTCGTAAAAGCGGGTATGTGACAAAAATCAATTTTACATTGGCTATCGATAAAGACGGAAATATGCGATTTGACGGTAAAAGAGTAAGTCGTTAACAAGAGAACATCAAGACGGGATATTTCCGTCTCTATCAGTAGTCAGTGTTTCATTCTTTTCTATTTCTTACTACCTTTTCTATTTCATACTACCATTTCTATTTCATACTACCATTTCTATTTCATACTACCTTTCCATTTCTATTTCATACTACCTTTTCTATTTCATAATACCTAGAAATTATAATGGTTCGAAATTAAGCAACATACATATGAATTAGGTCGGCAGAGGAATGACGTCATTTAAATCAGCAGACGACACTGTCCAGCATTTTGTAGATACAGTTTATTATTTAGTTTATGTCTCGGATCCTTTCGTCATTTGCAAAAGAAAATGGATACAAAATACGATTTTCTTCTATTATATGCACGGTGATAAATGTTTTTTATGGTTACAAATATTTAGCTTCATGAATATTTATTTAAATATATATATAAATGTTCATATGTAATACACACTTTAACTTAATCCCATGTCCGAAGAAGAAGCATGTACCCTAATATTAGTGCTATATATAACACAGAGCGAAATATTGGAATAGAAAATAAAACCTACCTTCTGTAAAAGTATGGTGGGTAGACCAGAAACCCTTAACATTTTATTATACTTCTTATGGTATGTGAAAGCCAGCCAATCAAATAAACAATAATTGTTTACGTGAAAAACTAATGAACTGTAACTTACTAAAAACCTTCAATCAATGACAGTGGAACAATGGGAATCCAAACGTTTTGCTGATTAAGTGTGTATGAAAGTTATAATCTATTTGCTCTGTAGAAGACCAACTTTTGAAAATATTTAATGAAATACGATTGGATAAAACTTATTAGTTATATAATTATTCACAGGGATTTTAAATATTTGATAACTATACCAATGTAGACACAACCTCCTCCTCTTAAAAGAAAATCCAGAAAAGGTACGTATATATACATACATACTGTAGCATAATTGTTTAAATTGCATAAACTAATATTTCATTTACTTTCATTGCATAGTAAAATTTTATAAGAAAAAATAAAGACTAAAATGTTCGTCAGAATTATACCATTACTAGTTGTGTTCTATTATTCTGCTATTGGTAAGTTTTTATTACTGTAATCTATTAGGAATAAAGTACTATTTTCTCTTTACGCTTTTGTCAGAAAATGTCCGTCAAAGTACAAAAAGAATAGTGTTACACATAACCTGTTATAGATATTGATGGCACTCTGTTTCCTTAGTTGTATGCTCTCACCTTGAATTATTTGTATTATCAATACAAATATATCTAGCTGAATAATTTCCTATACTTTAGTCATTATTAGCATGTTTAAGATTAAATAACTACACTATATTGCGTTCTGTTAGTATTTCAGAGTTCAGCTACACTTTCATAAAATGTTTTCGTCAACATAGAATTGGTTAAGAAAAATTGTCTATCTGGTAAATTATTTTTAGAATTATTTTAAAATCAGGAGTAAGTGTATATTTTGCTTTATTTAGTGTTTTCAAAGCCATTACACGACGACACGTTTCTTGTACATACTACAGCCTGCTGTAGGCAGACATATATAGAGTATAATTTATGCGAGATTCCGAAAGAAACCCGGAAGGATGTGGCGACACAAAGTACCACTAAATATAATGAAGATGAGCTGGAAGAAATTCGTAACCTTTCTTTAGATGAGATGAATGCTATTAAAACGTTAAAGAAGAAAGCTGTAAGTAGTAATGAAAATCAAATCATAAAAGTAAATTGTACTATTGTAAATACAGAAAATCATTGAAAAAACAACGTACATGTAAGTCGTTCTGCAAAAGAAATAATTTCATATAAGTAAAAGTAGTTCGTATATATTAGGTATTAGACAGTGCTAATTGTAAACATACGCAATGTGCAATTATTCCTACTATTCATGTATAAAGATACTAAAACAATACCAAAACGTATCAAAAAGCATTTTATCAGGCGCCAATAATTAAATGCAGTTATGCTTCAATCTGTTATTTACCATTCACACTTAATTTTAATAATTTTATCTTTTATTTTATCATGTAGTAATAATTTTATCTTTTATTTTGTCATGAAGTTTTAATTTTATCTTTTATTTTATCAAGTGCCTATAATAAAATATATATAATGACTGCCTATAATTTTATCTTTTATTTTATCATGTAGTAATAATTTCATCTTTTATTTTATCATGTAGTTATAATTTTATCTTTTATTTTATCATGTAGTAATAATTTTATCTTTTATTTTATCATGTAGTAATAATTTTATCTTTTATTTTATCATGTAGTGGTTATGTGATATATCATTATATTATATATTTATGACTTCTTTTATGTCGTCATGCAGTTATCATTATATTGTTTATCTAATCATACATGTTAATTTTTTTCTTTTATTTCATCATGTTGATATAATTTTATCTTTTATTTCATCATTTATTTCATCACAATAATATAAATTAGTGTTTTATTTTATCACACACTTATAATTCAATATTTTATATTGTCAACAGTTTTAACTTCATATAGTAATTATCTTTTATTTTGTTGCAGCAAAGGAAGATAAGATGTAAACATCAACTGAAAAAGTTGAAACAAATGGAACTGAAAGATCTAGTTCACATACGAACATTGACAAACGATCATTATGTAATTATACTTATTGTATCATATCTTATTTTAATACATGTAGTTAAATAACATTTAAATATATATTTTGCTCAAATTTGATATTTGCAAATACTGCATATTGCTTAACTGTCTCCTTTCTATTACCTTTAACTAAGATATAGTATTCGATATAAACGACCTGTTCATAATGGCTACAGTATACACATGTATTTCACATTTAAATATACTATATTACGCCGGTTATTACTGTCTACTTTACGACAATTAAGCGGAATGTTTTATAGTTTAATATGCTACCTTAGCATAATTCAACGGTTAAGAAGACGAGAAACTTTTTCTTCTACATGTTTACTCTCTTTTTTGCCGACAAGAGGAAGTCGGCAATTTCGTTTTTTTTCCTGCATTAACATATAGCACTTTGTATATTTCTTAGTATCCGCAAACACTTATTTTTTCCATAAAACATTAAAGTAATTGTTATATATTTGTATTGATTTTCGAAATCTGGTTTAATATGTTTTAATCTAATATTGAATATTTACATTAACGATCTAATAATGGTACCATGTGTTCTATTTTAGTTTCAGAATCTAAGCTCAGTTATCACAAGAAGTTACATAGACATGGTCGGGATAATGTGGTTGTTTAATCATCTTGAATCAACTCTACAACATTATGTGAAGAACTGTTGCTTGCAATACCCGAGTGAAACTTCAGAGCGCTTGAAGAATAGAGTTCTTTTGAAATGGTTTCACATTCAAAAAGACTTCGGTGAACAAATTGATGTTTCCAAATGTAACGTTAATGTTCAATTAGAAATCAGGGAGCCCATGGGATGTGATAACACAAGAGATATTATATATCTACTTTTGAAACATTCTATGGATGTAATAAAACAATCGACGCAGAATATACCTAAAATCAAGCGAGATAGAATGTAGAATGTGATGAATCATGTGTAACATTATCTATGTTAAATATAGCTGTATATACAAACACAAAATGACATTCTCAGCAACATGATGACAATGACAATTTATTTATTGTAATTGTCTCAGCAATATGTACAGACTTATGTACTCAATTTTCAATATATTGCTTATACAATTGATGTTAAACATTATAACACTAAAAATTCAAATTTAGACATAACTTTATTTAAAGGCATTTATATTAATACATGTATTATATTTGTTAAAGATATATTATGCTCAATTTTGATAGTAGAAAAATTGCAATATGTAAATAAAGGGATACAAACTCCATACCCTATATAGTTAACACACAGCATATTTATTTTCCAAATTAACTTGTACAGTAGTAGGGAATAAAGCTTCCGAAACATAGTTTATGTAGATTATTCAGATAAGACATATTCAGTAAGATTTTCATAAATTTCAATTTTAAATTCCTGCAATAATATATTTACCAAAATATGAGTTTAATATATCTTTAAAGTTAGTTTGATAATAGAAAGTCGTGCAATTTATTTATCTCTACCGAAACAAAACTTTATTCTACATATAGTTGTAAGTTAGTATTTAACAGTCAATCCATTTGTTTACATAGATATTTCTTTCTTATTACAAGAATACACTTATACATGTGTTTATTTATTGATGACAGTGAAATTAAACCTTTAGTTAAAAATAATTAGTTTGTCTGTTAAAAATAGAATCCTAATCCTATAGCACATTAATGGATGGATGGATGGATGGATGGATGGATGGATGGATGGATGGATGGACGGACGGACGGACGGATTGATGGATAATCGGTCAGAACTTGACAATTACATCTGTAATCTAACATACAATTATTAAGGTTCTTATTTTTCAAAAAAAAAATAAAAAATAAAGTACTTTGAATACAAAAACAAACTATAACAAAGAGATAATACGCGATAAATGTTGACCAATGCAATAAATTATGCATCTGGCATTCTTTGTCTTTGTCCTTTTAATAATATATCAGAAATCTAGAATAATTTCCGTTAAGAATGAAAGTTATTATTTCCTAACTTAATTATAACAAATACAACCAGCTGATACAAAACTACAAACATCCACCAACAAAATAAAGGTTTACAACGTGAATTGAAGCAACAAGCATTAACTTACATTACCACAAACATCCACTTCTAGCCATAAACCAAACTAAAACACCTACCAGAAGGTTTAAATTATTTCTACCACAATTTTTACTCTTTCAGCCTTGTTAAAAGGATCCACACACAAAAATGACTTTACTGAAAAACTTACAGAATATATCTGTAGCAGAAAATGAAACACCAATTAAATTATATCTGTAAGAAATAACTGACACAAAAATTAAAATACATCTGTAAGAAATAATTGAACACCAATTAAAATACATCTGTAAGAAATAACTGATACATAAATTAAAATACATCTGTAAGAAATAACTGACACACCAATTAAAATACATCTGTAAGAAATAACAGACACACCAATTAAAATACATCTGTAAGAAATAACTGACACACCAATTAAAATACACCTGTAAGAAATAATTGACACACCAATTAAAATACATCTGTAAGAAATAACTGACACACCAATTAAAATACATCTGTAAGAAATAACTGACACACCAATTAAAATATGTCTGTAAAAAATAACTGAAACAACAAATACAAAATCATCTGTAATAATTAACTGGAACACTAAATGCACATAATCTGTAAGAAATAATTCATACACCAAATGCAACGTTAACTGACGCGCCAACTGCAAATTATCTGTAATTTACATTTAATGCAAATCATGTAATGCTGCAAACATACAAAATACAGAAAAAAAACTCAGTTAAGACCACCATCGGGACTGGACCAAAGAGATATTTATTGCGGTGTGATCTCATTTGTGGATATTCTTACCATTGCTTATATACTTTATGACCATGGTCTATTTTAGTCATTTGGTAAAGACGCGCTAAATGTTAGCGTTATACTAAAGGCGCGTCAATGGAAAACGTTACTTTTTTCACTTAAACAGTTTTTATTTTGGTTATGTGATAAATAGAATATTAAATCCGTGTAATTTTAATACAAAATTTATTGAACTCGTTGAATAAAAGAATATTATGCTCGCTATAGGCTCGCTATAGACATATAGACAAAATTAAAACTGTTCCATAGAATTTCTTTAAACTTGGCATGTTGTTAGAATTAAGGCCCCCACGATTACACGTTTAAACGGATTCGTTTCTATTTTCATTCATAAATGTTTACGATATTGTTTACCGTTTAATCGAAATGACCATATTGTCTTACAAAATTTCTTAATCATTGCCTGTAATCATGGATTTTATCAATTCTAGTGGTTTATTCCAAAGTAAACAAACGGAAAATAGGTGTTTACAACCCTCCACACAGCATTACGGTGACATAATACATTTTTGGTAAAAAATGGAGTTACAATGCAAAAAATGTGTGCTGACTCAATCGTGATGAGCCCTGCACATTCTTTATTTGTACATGTATAAAAAATAGAAAGACATCATTTGGCGACTCAAATACATGGTGTGTATAGTACATAGAGGTACCACCGTTTAAACTGTATCGTTTTGGTTCTTAGCAATAGTGTAAACGTTTACAAAATATTGTAAACGTGGGAGCCTTAGTTAGAATATGGCAACAGAAACATTTTTAGTGAAAAAATGTGGGGTCACCGTCTTCGTTTTTTGAGTAAACTGTCCCTGAATCAGAATTTTTTACTTATTTTTGAGGTCATTTAAAGGGCAGATAACTTATACATACGTAAATGAATTCCTGCTTTTACTTCTTGATAATGTTTTTCTTTTTATTGTTGAATGCAATACATAATAACATTCAATGCCTTATATCGTTTTTGTATTTATTTTCAATGAAAATAAAGGTACAATAAATTCTTAAAAAATAGGCCAATTTTTAAGAAAAAATGCACAGGTTAAGTGAAGAAGTGGGGAAAAAACTGTCCACTCTGAATTTGTTCTGGAAATTTTGCATATCGACTAAGACGAAGGTAAGCTTCATGAAAATAAGAAAAAAATATATTGTTTCGCTTCAATGTAAATTATCTGCCCTTGAATTTAACGAAAAAGTCCAATTCAAGGGCAAATAACTCGAAAATGAGAACGGTGACCCAAAATATTTTTCCGTTTAAAAAGTTTCTGTTTTTATATTCTTACAACATGCCAAGTTTACAAAAATTCTATTGAACAGTTTTAATTTTGCCTATATGTCTATATGAAAACTCCGGAAAACGTCTTTAATATAATTTTATTCAACTCGTTCAATAAATTCAGTATTTAACTTACACTCATTCAATATCCTCTTGTAAGTGTATAGATAAATAATTGAATATTCAATCCGATCTCCTTTGTGCGTGAAAGAAAACTTTATACTATAATTACTGAACATAAAACAACGAACTGTATGTACTAGTAGCGCAGATTTAAATCTTACTAAATAAGTTACATGAATGAATACAATACAATACAAGAAAAGCATTGATGTAAAGCATCAAAGGGCGTCCAAGCAAGAAATGCAGCAAGTGAAGATGAACTAGTACACATATGATGACAAGATATTCTTATAAACTACCAGAAATGTATATCACTTATGAATGAGCGGACGAAAGACATTGTTCATTATGAACTTTGATTGGCATGCTAGAGATTAGAATATTACTTGTTATTTCTTTATGATCGTGGTTATTAATAGCAACGGATATACATGTATGCAATCATTTATAATCCATATGTGTAACGCATGATCAACACATATCCACACCTTTGTAATTGTCCCTTATTATGTTATCGCTATTAGCGAAGACCCCCTCTTAAGGCATCTGTTCACACTTTAAGTTAGTAAAAATATGACACTGGTTATATTACCATGTTGATCATGTTGAGCATAATTGTTTATTATACAATAATTGTAATATCTATTAATTTTAATAAAAAAAAATACAAATTTTATGAATATTGTTTTCTTTTCTTTTTTGTGTCTTATGTGTTATTTTATTACTGAGTTTTTACTACTCTTTTTTTTATTAAAATTGTAAAATAAATTTTAAGAATTCAATTGTCATATTGACCGACGATTATAAGTCAAAGCTTAACTGGAAAAAGTCAGTATATTATGGTTTATCTTTCTATATATAATATTGTTTATTCTTAAACCATGTACATGTACATTTGTATTTTGCTTTATCATTTTTTAAATTATCAATCAATTGAATAATTCATAAAATCTAATTTGTAACTTTGAATAATTCCTCGGCATCTTTACTAAAGACGGATAACAAATTAAATAAAATGTTTCAAAGTTGATAATGTCATTTTAATACCATTAAAATGTACCTTTTTCTCAATTATTGTACATATCACGGATTTATATTACATATAAATCCGTGTACATATTTATTGTTTTTATCTCATATAGATAAAATGAAACATGCTATTGTTGTTGTTTTTTTTCTAATTGTAACGATATCAAACATCTACTCCAAAACCGGAAGAGACCGGACAATAAACTTGTGGTACTATTCGCCGGTCACTAGTAAATCCCGGTCAAAATAGACCGGGGAAACCGGTAATTACCGATAGGAGTGATAAATAGATATATCTATAAATAGATATTTTGGAATATTTAGGTCATCAAACTGATCATTCTAGGATACATGTACAACAATAACATACAATGACAACCCACCGTGTACTACAAAATGATCGAAGATCGCGATTTATTGACGGAAAAGGTTATTTAATTTGAAAATGTTTGTATTGCGAAATTCTCCAGTTCGCTATTCATTGTAACATATCGCGACATTTCATTCTTAATTAATAATCAAGCACCTCATACCGATCGGAATGATCGGCTTTTATTATGACCGACTAAAAGGCTCGAGAAGTTGCTGTCGCCCTTTCACAAAATCTGATTTCATTTCATAAGGGCGCCGCGCTTCGGCGCGGACGCCAATTAAAGATCCTGTGAGATTGCATACCACTCTTCATTGAATTATATATGTATGTAATTATGCAAATTTGTCAATTTTCAAACATAGAAGAATATGTAAAATTATTGTACATATTTATTGTTTTTATCTCATATAGATAAAAATGAAACATGCTATTGTTGTTGTTGTTTTTTTTAATTGTAAATATATCAAACATCTACTCCGGACAATAAACGTGTGGTACTATTCGCCGGTCACTGGTAAATCCCGGTCAAAGTGGAATCATTTTACATAAACAGCTAGAATATGTAAAATGCAATACAATATGTTAACCTATATTTTATTTTTTCTTTCTGTTTTCGATTTAGCTTCTTAGAGATGTTGATATTATAGATTCGTGGACAACTATATTCAAATGTCGTAACATAACCAAGAGAAAAGAAAGTTTAAGCGAAACATAATTCTGAAACTATAATCAAAATTTACTAATAGCTCGTCTTAAGTACATCAGTAATATATATATTGACTTAATTTGGTATTTATAAACAAACCATAATATATGTGTAAATACATAATAATAATAATTATTATTACAATGTATATGATTTCTGGTGACTCATAGGCCCATGAAGCCGGGTGTTATGTTATTTTCTCTTGTACATATGTATTGTAATAGATATGCACATGTCACGATAATTAAACATTTAATTACTTACTTACATACAACTATAAATATATTCTTTATTTGAGTCTCATCCATACACAACAACATAAAAACATTAAAATGATATAATTTTACAATATAAAAGTTGTTTGTGTACGGCCATTCTAATCACTGAAAAAGTAACCTAATGGAGGGGAGGCGACTCTGCCAGAATTTCCAATATAACCTACAGAGTTACCTCTCTTCTCATTCCACATTCATATGCATATTACAACTAAAATACGAAAATATTGCTAATCTTGTTCTAAAAGATTAAAATAATTTATTGTACAATTGCTCTATAGTTAGTTAATAATAATAATAATAATAATAATAATAATAATAATAATAATAATAATAATAATAATGATAATAATGATAATAATAATAATGACTTTATTTAACGAGGGAACTCATTTGAACCAACATATCAATCTTCCATGAGGCCCCCAACAAGGAACAATATAAATTTAACATATTCAAACTATTAAAATACATAAATGTAAATACATACATGAGTTTATCAATTTGCATACATCAATGTGTGATAATACCTCATGTACATGTATAAGGTTTTAAAATGGTTCAGAGATGTGGCAGACTTAATATAATCAGGAAGGTCGTTCCAAATACAAGATCCAGAATAAACAAAAGACTTACGAACTTGTTCAGTATTTGGTCTAGGAATGTAAAGTTGAAAATCAGATGATGAACGCAAAATGAGAGTATGAACATCTGACGATAAAATGGAATTACTCAATAAATAGGAAGGCGCCTGATTATTCATTATTTTAAACATCATAATATCTTTTTGAAAATCAAACCTCTGTGAAAAGGTCATCCAGTGGAGTTCAGAAAAAAGTTCAGCAGAAGGAGTGTCATATAATCTTTGTATAGAATTAGTCTTTCAGCTCTCCTTTGGAACTTAATGAGTTTATCTTCTAGAAAAGACGTACAGTTACCGTAAATTATGCAACAATAGTCAAGATGTGGTAAAATGTATGCATTGTAAAACATTTTATGTACAGGTATAGATATGAATAATTTTATACGAGATAATAAATGTAACAAAGAGTTGCATTTTTCAAGAACATTATAAATATTGCTTTGCCAAGATAAGGTGTTATTAATTATAATACCCAATATTTTTTCTTCAGAGCTACAAACAATTTGCTCTGTTTATATGAAATACAAGGATTATTTTCATAAACATAATTTTGCTTGTGGTTGATAAATTGTTTAATTATGTGAAAATAACCTTATGAGAGACAGTTCTCTGGAATACAACCAGTTAGCTCTACTTTTGCCGGCTCGCCACAGCGAGCCGGTATTACGTTAGGATTTTACTGAGACACAACCTAAAACTCCGAATCCATCCAAAAATTTAATCGAAGCTTGGCTTCCAGCTTTCTACAAAATTTATCTGTCAGGTCTGGAATCCAAAATTATTTAGCCAATCAAATTTTATCTTACATAGCATCAAAAACCTTCAATTTTCACGCCGTTTTTAAAAAGCAGCAAGTATTGCTTTGAGCGCAAAGATATAATGATGATTAAAACGTTTGTTTTCATGAATTCTATTCAATAAATCATATTTACACTGACTTTTGATTTAGCGTTTTCACCTGTTTTCTCTGTAGTAACTTTTCGTTTGTTAATTAACATAAGTGTACATCTGGTTCTGTGCATTTTTTTACTTTTTCCTTTTTTCCGGTCATTTTATCCTTTCCGGTATTTAGTGTATGTATTTACTGGTGGGGGGATCCCGGGATCCGGGACGCCTGGGATCCGGGATCGTATTAGATATAGAGGAAAAACTAATAAATTATATTTGTGTTGATTATTGTCGTAATGAAAGGCCATTAAATGTTAAGTTTTTTATTGTATGTAATGAACGTTAAATTAATTTAACTTAGGATATAGATATATTAAGAGCTATTTATTAACAAACTTAAAATGCGGAAATCACAATACTTATAATTATATGCCTAATTAATTGGAAAAATCAAAGACTATATTCTTCAATTGGTCAAATCCCGGGACCCCTATATGTTTTAATACGATCCCAGCTTTTCTGAAAACTATATTCTTGAACTGGCCAATTCCTGGGATCTCTATATAATTTAAATCGGCTTTCCTGAAAACTATATTCTTGAACTGGTCAATTCCCGGGATCCCGAAAATTTTAATACGATCCCGGCTTATCTGAAAAACATCTTCTTAGACTGGTCATTTTCCGGGATCCGTATATTCGTTAATACGATCCCGGCTTTTCTGGCTGAACTGATTGACAACTTATCTTTACTTTAGGACTTGTGTCTGTCACTCATTCCAATACTAAATAACATATTACAACTTAACTTCGTATAAAGAGACATCTTTATGAATTCTACCTATCTAACCTTTTTTTGGTCAAGGTCAACAGGCCATATAGTAAATGTGCATAGACATTGGGACTTCATTCTATCTGTTTACATGCATCTTCATATATACTCATATTCCTCTTTGTTAAACAGAGAGAACTGGCTTCCATAACATATTTCACTTTTATTTTGATGTTCGCTGAAGTCTCTTCAGCTAACAGAACTGTCATTTTTACATTTAAACACACCCTTGGAAAGAAATTACGAAGCGAGTCGCTACTAGCTTTTTTAAAAGCTAACCTTGTGAGAATATTGAAGCAGGATTTTGCAGCACACTTTACAGTTTCCGTATAGGAAAAAATAAACGACAGTTTTTTTGTCATCGGACAGCCTTAAAAATGCTCTTTTCCATTTTCTGCTTTGGCAAATAAATCTTTCCTTATACTTTCGACAATACAAAATAACATGTTTCTTATCTTCAATGCTGGTTTTACAGAATGGACAATTCTTTGGATATCTGCCAGTTTCAAGTCTAATAGGGGCTACCATATATTGAAACTTTGCAAATGCTGCTCTATGCTTATTCGACAGGATTGGGATAGCAGTTACATGTGTTTCTGTTTCATAACTAAATGATCAACATAGTAGATTTGCTGTTTTATTTAAACTGAAAATGAATGAGAATACTGGCTTCCTCTCCGATTTTAAATTCGTCAAATGAAATTGAAAATAAACATGTAGATAAATCTTCGATAAAGTGCATAACGGGTGAAAAAGTAGCGTAATTTTAGTGCCTCCAGTTTTCAAACAATATTTAGAAAAAAAGGTGAGATGCTGGCAAAGAATTGCACATTCGTCATTAAAATGTGTACCATATTCTCTTTATCAGAGTTATACATAGCAATTAATATCAACAATTTCATTGTTCATATAATTAAAGAACAAACATATCGCAATAAATGATTATATTCTTGTTGTCATATTGTTGATGAATAAAAAAGTGATTGAAAAGAACGGTTGTAATAATGACGTATTCAATCATTAAAAATGTCTGTCCAATCTTTCATCATGATGGATATGATACATTAGCAATTAGGGTTAACTTTTGAAACTACATCTATTTGATACTGGTCTGGTCAGGATAAAACCAGTTTGAACAGTAAAAAAAATAAAGCAAAATAAAAAAATGATAATAATTAGAAAAAAAACCAACTAAAACCGGTGTTACATTAAATTTTGACCTCATGTGTCATTTCAATGTTAATAAACAACTAAACCTGGGTCAGTTTCCAACGTGCGAAAATTTGATAAAAAATCGTTGAGAAATGATCAATCGTTAAATCTTTATCAAATCAGTGTCTAACGTCTGTTAGTAGTAGAGAAACGCTAAGAAGAAACAGAATCTCTCACGGGGGTCATAAAATGACTTCACAAGCATAACATAACCAAGCCTGGGCTCATGCTAACTACTTCAGCGAGAAAGGCAAATAATCTGTAAGTTTGAGAGGGAAATGGGTCTATGTGATCGGAGTCCGATATGCTCCTCGGAAGCATCTTTTCAAACTAAGTTTTTGTCCTATTAAAAGGGTCATTCTACAAACTAGTATAATCAACTGTTGAAATCCATTAGAATATATGTAGCTAGCCATGGTTTATAGAAATACTCTCATAACATTGTGTTAAGAACGACAGGGTTTGAACCCACGCGGTCAGCAATCCTTAGATTACTAGTCCGACGCGTTAACCACTCGGCCACGCCGCCACCGGGTTATGCAGTATACAAATTTTTTACTGTTTGCAGTGTTTGGGGCTTCAAGCATAGAGATTAGCTCATTAGCTCATGGGCCATTTGATTGAAATAATTAAATATTTATCACTTACAAAATCTGAAAGGAATACATAAATATTACTGTTTCAAGATTAGTGAATGACCATATATGGGCATTTTTAGCATTAATAAGTTGGTCTTTTGTTGATCAGTTTTCAACGGGAGTCATCTTTTACGTGCGGATGGATCATTAAATAACGGGAAGGGGTCAATTTTCAAAGTTGAAAATTGATCAATTACCCTGGTGTCAATTTTCAACGGGATCAAAATTCAATGTTCCTACGGCAAATAGATTTTATGGTTTATCAGATATCAAAATGCAAGAGCAATTATCTAGATATCACCTTGACAGAGCCTGAAATACCGGGAAAACATAACATGCATTATAATGTCAATTATGTGTTTGAAGTTAGCCTCAGCAGAGCTATAGGTATAAACTTAAATAAAACGCTAGGTTTCACTCGGAAGATGGTGGATAATAGCTATCTAACGTCGAATTTTCGCTCTTTAAATAATAAAACAAGACAAAACAATAAGAAAGTAAAAAAAAGAACATTATAAGAATATATAAGCATCATAAATTTGGCCTTTTCAAAAATAGAGACTGACAACGAAGTCTAACAAAACATGTAAATTTGTAAACAAGATAAATTAAGATATATTTAGCATCATGGAAAGTGTTGATTTTTGTTTTGTTTTCTATCTAAAGACTTTGAAGTTACGCACGTAGAAATTAACCTTCATCTTTCATTTTACATTCTTTTGATGTAAACATTAACAAAATTGATAAATGGTTTAAATGTGAACAACATTTTTTTCTTTACGTTTACTTCTTCTATATAAATAAATAGATGCAACACTTTGATAAGAAAATTGTGTCAATACATATTGTCTCTTGTTTGTGAAAACAACATAGATATAGGAAAGGGCTTTATTTTAGGAAAAATATTGCGGAGCTAGATCAATACAAAGAAAGGTAAATTTGTAATGTCTATGAATTTATTCTGTATTAAAAATTTCAAAAATAGTCAAAAGCGTTAAGTTTTGTTGTGTGTGTGTGTTTTTTAAATACATGTAACCTGTAAAATATATGAAATCGCTTACACGAATTCGCAGAGGTCATTTAGGTGATGGTTACTTATTCTATTAAAGTTACAGTTCTAACTGTCAAACCTGAGTTTGAAGAAAAAACATGTAAAAATTGATATTAAATTTATTTCAAACTTGCATTTAAGTATATACATAAAGCAAAACAAAACGGAATGTAATACATGTAAACTTGAAAATTTTGAGAAGTATGTTGTAAATAATGCATTAAAGAAACTTATAATAACTAGGGTTATCAAAATGAAATCAACTACGAAATTTACACATTTTGTTTAAAACAAGACTTTTCTTCCTGAGGATTTAATTTCACGTGTGAAAAGATGATATTTGGTTATAAAAAGTTATGATTTGTGCAAAATTAAATGCATAGACTCATAATGATATGATTATTTTAACCAATTATAAATGAAGGAATTTATTTACTTTGACTTAGAAATTAAAGAGTCTGGAAAAGGGGGTGATCCTGCGGAAGCATTAATCACAACAAAATTGAATCAAAACTGCAGTCACGGTTTGATTAAGTCTGAACATGAAGGATAACGAAATAATGCAATATACATCATGTCCCCTAGCACCGGCCCCCTAGCACCGGCTTGAGCGCTACTCAATTTTCAACACTAGTCTTACTGATCTGGATCAATGATCCTGAAGGACGAGAAAAATATAAGAATACTAAAGTGAAAGTTTACAATAAAAGTAAACTTACAGATATATGATAGATAAAGTCTTGGTAAAATTTAAATTATATTAGAATTAATTCATTTTCCTTTAACTAACTATCAATGCAAAAAGACGATATCATTTATTTTATATTTCCAGAGGATGGTGAGCGGAAAGGTTATTGTCATTATTTTTCTTGCTACAACATTGCTGAATTTTATTTTATCAACGAACGCACAATATTTCTACAATCCGGCATATATGGCCTCACTGTATAGATTATATTACTCACAGATGATGTATCGGTCCATGTATCCTATGTATTTTGGATATCCATTTTACCGTGGAGACTGAGACGTATGTATTTATATAAAAACTTTACATAGGTTAAAATAAAATAAAATAAAAATGTAAAAAAAGGATATTTCCTATCTTAACCAGTAATATACAATTTTATTCATTTTTACTGCATGCGGTAGCAAACATAGAGAAAATATAAGACAAAGGTAATGTAAGTGAACATGTCATGAAATTCTTTGGTACCTGGCTTCGTTACAGGTATCAATCGATTCATACAGAATTTATTTTAGTTCGGTTGTGCATGAAGCTATAAGCTTATTGACACTCTTTCGAATCCGTTCCTGGAACAAACCAGAACTGAGCAATGAATGTAAATAAAGTTTCTTGCTGAAGGAAACAACGACTTGCCCCTGACGGGATTTGAACCCATGCCGCTAGCAATCATTAGACTACTTACTAGTTCGACGCGTTAGCCACTCGGCCACGCCGCCAGATAACAATCAATGCTTCCTACTACCATTATTATTACTATTCCTCTAACCAAAGACACAGTTATAACTTCTATCAAAGAACTTAAAGTACTGATGAAAGAAAGGCCCCTATTAAATAATGCACAGTTACAATATAAATATATACTAAATTTGAAACACAGTCAATTGAATTATAGCAATTTGAACTTGTAACGGGAGACTTTTCAATGAAAACAGCCATTTTTCACAAAATGCTCATGAAGTAATGGGTTATGTTTAACGTCTTCCTTGCGTGCCTTACTTTATTTAATAAAAATCATATTTTATTCGTTTCAGATGGAATCGGGAGATTATATAGAAGATTGCAAGCATCATCTCTTCCATGAAACATTTTCTATGAGAAATATTTGTGAATCCATGTAATTATAAATAATAAACACATAACAAAAAACATCTTATTATTTCATTGGATAAAGTAGTTCTATAATTTGTTGTTTGGAATGTTTAATCATTTAAATGACGAATTAAGAATTAACGTAAAACGATTTTCCTTTCATGATTTTATTATGCTTAGTTTCTTTAACGACACTTTTTAAACGTCAAATATATATGAAATCAACTTATGACATATTAATGATAAAATAAGAAATATAATTTTACATGTCATCAGAAACAAATGAATTAATTACCAGCTGAATGTATAAATCTTTCTTGTTTGAACGATGTTTACTTAAAGATCCTGTAACACATTATTTTTATGGTTTTGTATACAAATTATGATGCACAAATTAAGATTTATCGATATTGTAAGTTTCAAAAAACATTATTTATAAAGATATTACCGAATTTGATATTTCATGTAAATAAAGGGAGGTAATTAGAATTTAGTTTTCTATAAATTCTAAGTCAATTTTTCCAATAAATAATGAATGCATAAAATTTAATGATTACCTTAAATATGTACAAATATTTGCAATACATATTTTACATATTCTTCGATGTTTGGAAATAATATTGACAAATTTGCATAATTACATACCTATATAATTTAATGAAGAGTGGTATGCAATCTCAATTACAAAACATACAGGATCTTTAAAGGCCCATTATGTCTCAAGAAATCCCTCTCAAAAGGGGCTTTTAATTTTGTTATTTTTCCCCAAAAAATTTATTTAATTACCCCAAATTCCCCAAACCATCTTTTTCATATTTTTCCCCTTTTTTAGAAAAAAATTACAGTAAGTGATTTAGTAGTAAATTTTAATTACTTCCCTACCCCTTTTGAATTATCATCTCCCCAAGGGGGAGAAGAAAATAATTAACCATAAATTTTAAATGAATGTCAAAACCATTATCATGCCCGGAAATCTCCCCCTAAAGAAAAAATCGAAAAAAAGTTTATCTAAAAAATAAACGCCATATTTTTTAAATATTTTGGGGGAGTTATACCCAAAAAATAAGAAAAAAACCCCTTAAAGTAAATTCCCAGAAAAACTTTTGACCAACTTCTCCCCCATAACTTTTTAAAGGGTTTACTATTGAAAGTAACAAGAACTGTCTTTGGGAAACATCCAAATGCTACCAAACAGGACCCAGTAGAGGAACCATTACCTTTGACTTGCATCAAATGCATGATTACTATAAAAAGGAGTGTTACATGAATAAAGAAACAATGTAAAAATACGTTCTCATATTTCCAGAGAACCAAATTATTTAATCAAAGGGCTGCAAGCTCTGTGGTATTTTCTGATCTTTGCAATCTAAATCATACTGACTATCTGTATTGTATTTTCCTATATCAAGTTTATTTTTATATACTATAATTCATCTTAACGCAGCGACTGCGTTAAAGATTTTTTTTTCTATAACAGTTTGAGATTGATACATATGGAATTTTGCATGACTAGAGTTGCATCAAAAATCATTTTTTATGACAGCCACACTTTATCCTTGCATATTGTGGCTACTTCCTCAAAAAAGACACTTCAAAAAAAAAGTTGCCTCGACTAGGATTTGAACCTTGTGCCTCTCACATCCTAAACGAGCGCGATACGAGCGCGATACCCCTGCACCACGGTGAAGTAATACGTAATATGTAGCCTGAATAAAAACAAATACATTGTAATTCTAAATTGAGAATTTCCATTTCGTGTTTGTAATCCTTATCAATTTCGAGGTATTTTGTTCACGATAAACCTGTTAAACACTGATAAGAATAATTTAGCGAAAATCTTCTCGCCAAAACAGTCCGTCATGTATATATTCCACTACTCGGCAGTGTACTATGCCCTTCAGTAATCGACATAGCTAAAAATAGCATTTTCATTGATTAAAATGATATTCATCCGCGAAATTTGTGATTGTAACCTCATATTTCTATTGACTAATCTGGACTTTCAATGCACTGTAATTCGTTAAATGCCTACATTAACAAGAGGGCCATGATGGCCCTGAGGTCGCTCACCTGTATATAGCCCCCCCCCCGGCGGGCTTTTATTTGTTTTTTTTGAACAGACTTGGTAGACACCCATAAGAAGATGTTTCAAGCTAAACATCTAAGTTCTAGCTCATTGGGTTTTTTAAAAGAATTTTTTTTAAGTTTTTACTATACACATATAGTTAAAAACAATGACACCCCTGGGGCCGGGCCAGTTTTGACCCCCAGACTTTTATTTGAACAAACTTTGTAGATATTACTTAAAGATGTTTTCATGCTTAATATCTAAACTCTAGCTATTGGGTTTTTTCAAATGAAGGAGAATTTTAAGTTTTTGCTATACACATATAAGGAAAATCAATGACCCCCGGGGCGGGCCAGTTTTGACCCCAGGCTTTTATTTGAACATACTTTTGGTAGACACCCATTAGAACATGTTTCATGCCTAAATATCTTAGCCCTAGCCTTTTGGGTTCTTTTTAAAAGTACATTTTTTAAGTTTTTACTATATGCATATAGGGAAAATCAATGACCCCCCGGGGTGGGGCCAATTTTGACCCCAGGGCTTTTATTTGAAACAAACTTGGTAGACACTCACTAGAAGATGTTTCATGCCACAAATATCTTAGCTCTAGCTCTTTGGGTTCTTTTAAAAGAAGATTTTTTTAAGTTTTTAGGTTCTTTATGCATTAGGGTTTTTTTTTTTTTAGGGAAAATCCAATGACCCCCTGGGGCGGGGCCCAATTTTGACCCCAGGGCTTTTTATTTGAACAACTTTGTAGACATTCACTAGAAGATGTTTTTCATGCCCAAATATCTAAGCTCTAGCTCTTATGGTTCTTTAAAAGAAGATTTATTAAGTTTTTTACTATATGCATATAGGGAAAAATCAATGACCCCCGGGGCGGGGCCAATTTTGACCCCAGGGCTTTTATTTGAACAAACTTGGTAGACACTCAACTAGAAGATGTTTCATTGCCCCCAAATATCTTAGCTCTAGCTCTTTGGGTTCTTTAAAAGAAGATTTTTTAAGTTTTTTACTATATGCATATAGGGAAAAATCTATGACCCCCCCTGGGGCGGGGGCCAATTTTTTGACCCAAGGGCTTTTTATTTGAACAAACTTGGGTAGACACTCATTAGAAGATGTTTCATGCCAAAAATATCTAAGCTCTAGCTCTTAGGGTTGTTTTAAAAGAAGATATTTAAAGATTTTTCTTTCGGTTGCCATGGCAACCAGAGTTCTGCATGGAATTAAATTCTTTGAACAATTTTTAAAGGTGACCACCAAAGGAACATTCCTGTGAAGTTTGGATGAAATTGGCTCAGCGGTTTATGAGGAGATGTCTTTTAAAGCAAAAGTTTACGGACGGACGGACGCCGGACGAAAAGCGATCACAAAAGCTCACCCTGTCACTTTGTGACAGGTGAGCTAAAAATTATTCTGTCTTTTAAATTGCTGGTATTTAAGCAGTTTTGAGTGAGAACTACTTTGCGTTGTTAGGTCTGTTAGGAAATTTTGTGTTAGACCGTGGATGTTAGCTATGTATTTACTGATCTTGCGATCAGAAAATACAAAAAGCATCCATGAATAAATGACAAAGATATGACCAGACACAACCATCAGTGTAGTATTTTGACATCCAAGTATAACCTTCACCTTGTGGCTTTTAATATGTATATGGCCATTGATGTACTTTTATGAAACTATAAACCTTAGACGCCCGAGCGTGACTTTTAATGACTTAATCTTGAAACATTAATCTACAAACTCATTTTTTTGTTAAATAAGAACCCTATATTTAAGCCAAATTATTACAAAATATGTCACTGAATCACAGAGAGACATTATCTAGACAAGACTTACATAATTATGCCCTATCATATCATGACGTTTGACATTCAAGTATGAACATGACCTGTGGATTGCTGAGCTAAATTTTGTACATTACATATCATCTTTATTTAATTCATAGACCATCCATGAATGGCGGGGTTATCCACCAAATAAATCATCACGTTTGACAAACAAATGTGACTATCATCTTTGAACTTGAGACCTGGCCCAATGCGGGACACATCCTCATCATTAATGTCTTAGCAAATTATTTTAGAAACCATCAAAGAATGAGAGAATCGTTGACCGGATAAAATAAAATATATTCAACTTGTAAAACTGATAATATATAATCCATACCAACTAAAGATACACCGCCGTACCTAATATAACCAGGAGACAAGGTACTTCGTCTTACCTTATATAACCAGCAGACAAGTTACACCATCTTATCTAATATAACCAGGAGACAAGGTACTTAGTCTTACCTTATATAACCAGCAGACAAGTTACACCACCTTACCTAATATAACCAGCAGACAAGGTACTTCGTCTTATCTTATAGAACCAGCAGTCAAGTAACACCACCTTACCTAATATAACCAGCAGACATGGTACTTCGTCTTACCTTATATAACCAGCAGTCAAGGTACTTTGTCTTACCTTATATAACCAGCGGACAAAGTACTTCGTCATACCTAATATAACCAACAGACAAGGTACTTCGTCATACCTAATATAACCAACAGACAAGGTACTTCGTCTTACCTAATATAACCAGCAGAAATGGTACACAAACTTACCTAATATAACCAGCGGACAAAGTACACATTACCTGATATAACCAGCAGACAAGGTACTTCCTCTTACCATAAATAACCAGCTGACAAGGTACTTCGTCTTACCTTATATAACCAGCAGACAAGTTACACGCCCTTACCTAATATAACCAGCAGACATGGTTCACAACCTTACCTAATATAACCAGCAGACATGGTACACAACCTTACCTAATATAACGAGCGGACAAAGTACACTACCTTACCTAATATAAGCAGCAGGCATGGTACCCCGCCTTATCTAATATAACCAGCAGACAAGGTACTTCGCCTTACCTGATATAACCAGCAGACAAGGTACCCCGCCTTACCTTATACAACCAGCAGACAAGGCACACCACCTTACCTAAGATAACCAGCAGGCAATGTACTCGACTTTACCTTATATAACCAGAAGACAAGGTACTCCACTTAACCTAATATAACCAGCAGACAAGGTACACCTACTTACCTAATAA